CAAGTCTTGGTGACTTAGAAAGTCCCCACTGTGCTCATGCTTCGGAGTTCCGCTTCAACCCAAGTGGCTTGGATTAGCCACAATTGAGTTTTGCTTTCACATTAATGTCGAACCCTATCGAGTGTATTCATCGCTTGGTGAGCCAGAGCCTCACAAGGACATGGTTAAGGATGACTTAGGCATCATTTCGACCGAGGAATCGCCTAAGTGCCACAGGGATCGACTAGCAGAAGTCTAGCCCCATGACAAGTGGTATAAGAGCGTGTTACGTTACCGGATAATGTAGCCCCACTACTAGAAGTGACCGAGTGAATCGTTGGAGGCAGACAACGATCGCTGTGTACGTGGTTGGTGGAAGTGAGTCAAAGCAAGTCGGAGTGTAGGTGTTATGGATTCAACAATGATCGAGCTTGTCTTGTGACAAGAAGCATCTTAGCGAGTTGATGGAAGCCGTTGTGGATTCAACGAGAGTTTCAGACAGGTTGTGTAAAGGAAACGAGATGGCACACCAAAGAGAATTTGTTCCCATAGAAGATGGTGTGGAAAGCCATGATGTTGGGGTCGAGCTAGAGAAACGAAGCGTGGGAGTTATCTCAGTATCATTGGAGTCGAGGATCGAGAACCTTGAGAGCTTCGTGGAGGAAGCCAAGGAGGTCCAAGGAGTTGTAGAGTCCCGTCTTGAACAGCTAGAGTCCACGAGGGATGGGTTCAAGGATGTAGCACAACGGATTCTCCACGATTGGACGTTGATAGAGATGAGCAATGTGCTCAATGTTGAGGTACCTTGAGGGAAGAAGTGGAGAGGCTCAGGAGTGAGCTACTCATGTGCAAAGCAGAAATGAGTGATGGTGGTGCGTGCGAGACCTTCACCGAGGGACATAGACTAGGGGTGATACTTGCCATCGAGCAAGGTGATGTCCATAGTTGTTCGGAAGCTGGAGCTGTAGCTGAGTCAAGGTGAGTGCTTGCAAGAGCCAAGTCAACCAAAGATGAGTCATCCAGACCCATGCCCGAAGAGAGTGGCAAAAATGGGGGAGGCCGTGGCAAGGGACAATGGATAGATGGCAATGAATGCTCTTCGAGTAGCCAAGGAGTGGCATCGACTGATCGTGGTCAGACAAAGCCATCAGAGAATCATGGCAAGGCCAAGTCCGCGTCAAAGAAGAAAGTACGTGCAATTCACTTAAATTTTATTTCTGATGGTCCTCACTTGATAAGAGGATGTCCCGAAAAGAATCGTCTTGCTGCCATTGTCAAAGAAGAAGACGAGTCAGAAGGGGAAATAGCCAAAGATGGTGCGACTGCGGGAGTCAAAGCAGTCAAGCCAAGAGCGAGGCTCGGTGCGAATGTTAGTGGCGCAGGAAAGCCGAGGGTAAATAAGCGAGACCCACTGAAGTGCTTCCTATGTCGAGGAGCACATAGGGTAAAGAGTTACCCAAACAAAACAAAGCTCGGTGCCAATACAAGTGGCGAAGCAACTAAGAGGAAGGTAAAGAATCGAGAGCCATTTAAGTGTTTCTAATACGATCAACATAAGGTGCGAGATTGCACCAACGAAGTAAAGCTCGGTGCGAAAGCCAAAGGCCAAGATGGAGAGCTGAGGGTAAACAAGCGAGAGCAACTGGAGTGTTTCCGATGCAAAGGTCCACACATAGTGCGGGAATGCCCAAACAGAATCAAGAAGTCCAAGGGAGAGGACGAGGGCGAGAGTAGTGAGCCTGCCAGGCTTGGTTCAATGATCTTTACTACTGCTAAGGTTAGTCAAAACCAGAAGCAGAATGGGTTACCCAAACCCAATATTGCCAAGGAGCTTGCCAAGGATGCCGAGAAGGTAACCGTTGTTGTGGAAGCTGGCGTTGGCAAAGGACCAAGAGAGTTTGAGACGTTGCAAGAGCAGTCGTGCTCAGTGCATGCCGAGAGTGAGGCATGGTCTAAGTTGATAAATCATAGACATGATGGGACGTTGAAGGAGTATGCAAGAGAGTTCGAGGAACTCATGCTCAAAGTCCCCGAGTTGGCTGAAGAAGATGCATTCTTCACCTTCATATATGGATTGAAGCCATGGGCAAAGACGACGATAGAGAGAAGGGGAATCAAGGAGTTGTCTAAATCCTTGATAGCCGCTGAGTCCATCATAGAACTTGGAGCCAAGAAGACGTCCAAGCCAAAGTTGAAAGCCGTGGATAGTGGCCAAAGTATCCGATATGAGGTCAGTCCAACGAGAGCGAGGCTCTTCGAGTACTGCTTGTTCGAGTGGAGTTTGTTCGAATGATGAACGTTTGAGCACTGATCGTTCAAGTGGTGAACACAAGTTTAGAGAATACATGTTGGATATTGGCACAAGTAAAGCTGACAAGTGCATTAAGCCGAGGGCAAGTAAGGAGCAGACGAAGGGTCACCAAAGTAAGGGGCCAAAAGAGTCGTAAGCTTACCTGGATAAAGCCGAGTGGTCCGAGAATATGGACAAGTCTAGGATCGATCTACCCAAGGACATGGGTGAAGATAGGGTCAAAGAGGCTGCGAGACATGGCTCAATTATTTCAAGTTCTTCCAAGACAAGTGGAGGCCAAAAGCAGAATGGGTTTATGTGTGCGAACATCAACATTTTCGAACCATCGGGAGTTGCATTAGTAGACACGGGGGCAACTGATCCATTTATGTCGAAGAAGGATGCTAACAATCTTGGTTTGAAAGCTGAACCATCAAGGGGGTGATTAAGACTGTCAATTCCAAAGAGGTTCTAACGAGCAGAATGTTGTTCTAGGGACTATCATAGAAGACACAACTAAGAAGGGTTGATGGAGTCCAAGCTTTCTAAAGACATGATGGGCGAGAGCTTGCCACCCATGTAAAAGGGTGGAAGTCATACCGGACTTCAGGGAGGAAGTGCCGATGCGAGTAGAAGCACTGAACTTCAACATAGAAGTGTTGGTGTGTGGAGTGCCAGACTTCGTGGAGCAAGAAGGGCTGACACATAGAGTAAATGTGCTAAGGGAGTTCGAGGGACATCTCAAACACGTTCCAAGTGTTGATTTTGATTCACCATCGCTGATGAGTGTGGGTCGAGGACTTAACCATCTTGTTGCAGAAGATTGGAGGGAACATCTGAGACTTTCAGAGTTCTTAGGGACAAGCGAGTGTTACCAACGAATCTGAGTTGTCGTGTTGTATGTTGTCGAAACATCCAAGTCTTTGCCACTGGATCACGAGTATCCTTGTTTGGGTGAATGCAAACGGGTAGGATGGATTTCCTACGCTCGAGATGTATGCCACGGTGTGTTAGATCGTGATAAGACATGGCGGTGTCAACCAAGGCGAAGTAGCGAAGGTGTTTTGTTAAAGCGTCCAAGGTGATGAAGACCAGTTATCGCATAGCGACAAGGGCGTCGCTAGATCGAGTGGGGGAGAATGACACGGACTAAACTTTTGGGTCCATTGACATTGGCGCAAATGAGGTTCTATATACGCAGACTTGGGCTTGTTGGGCAAGATGAGTTGGCCCGGTTCTTGGAGAATGCTTACGAGTATGTGAAGGATCATTACCGAGGCGTCCGAGAGAAGCAACGAGGGTGTTACATGTTCGATGGGGGCAATTTTATCAAGGCTCATGGATTCGAACCGAGACGTGTGTGTACCAAATTCATTAGGAGAATAATACAGAGTGTTGGGCTTGCCCAGAACCATTAAACCTAGCCTGTTCCTTGGAGGATTCTAGAAGGATGATTTTAGAGATATGCCCACTTGCATGACAACTTGCAATGCCACTTGTTTTGGGTTGGTGGGATTAGATTTAAGCCGTCGATGTACTTTGATCTAGACCGTTGAATCATGAGGGCCTCAACTATAAATAGAGAGCTCATCCCCTCATTGTAATCAAACACAAATTCTCCATTCTCTTGAGAGAGTAATAAAAGCTCTTAGGCATTTGCTCTTAAATCTCTTTGTGTTCTTTTGTTTCTAGCTTGCTAGCCTTGTCGGCTTGTTCTCTTTTGTGCTAAAGCCTTTATGGCTTGTGTTGCCGATCGTGAGGATAGTTAGCCTCGAGAGTGTTCTTTTCCAAGTTCTTTCAAGTGCCAACGTGGTTCAAGTCTTGGTGACTTAGAAAGTCCCCACTGTGCTTATGCTTCGGAGTTCCGCTTCAACCCAAGTGGCTTGGATTAGCCACAATTGAGTTTTGCTTCCGCATTATTGCCGAACCCTATCGAGTGTGTTCATCGCTTGGTTATCCAGAGCCTCACAAGGACGTGGTTAAGGCTGACTTAGGCGTCATTTCGACCGAGGAATCGCCTAAGTGCCGCAGGGATCGACTAGCAGAAGTCTAGCCCCATGACAAGTGGTATAAGAGCGTGTTACGTTACCGGATAACGTAGCTCCGCTACTAGAAGTGACCGAGTGAATCGTTGGAGGCAGACAACGATAGTTGTGTACGTGGTTGGTGGAAGTGAGTCAAAGCAAGTCGGAGTGTAGGTGTTGTGGATTCAACAATGATCTGAGCTTGTCTTGTGACAAGAAGCATCTTAGCGAGTTGATGGAAGCCGTTGTGGATTCAACGAGAGTTTCAGACAGTTGTGGAAAGGAAACGAGATGGCACAACAAGAGAAGTTGTCCCATAGAAGATGGCGTGAGAGCCATGATGTTGGGGTCGAGCTAGAGAAACGAAGCATGGAGTTATCCCAGGATCGTTGGAGTTGAGGATCGAGAACCTTGAAGCTTCGCGGAGGAAGCCAATGAGGTCCAAGGAGTTGTAGAGTCCCGTCTTGAACAGCTAGAGTCCACGAGGGATGGGTTCAATGATGTAGCACAACGGATTCTCCACGATTAGACGTTGATAGAGATGAGCAATGTGCTCAAGGTTGAGGTGATAGCCTTGAGGGAAGAAGTGGAGAGGCTCAGGAGTGAACTACTCATGTGCAAAGCAGCAATGAGTGATGGTGGTGCGTGCAAGACCTCACCGAAGGACATAAACCAGGGGCGATGTTTGCCATCGAGCAAGGTGATGCTCAGAGTTGTTCGGAAGCCGGAGCTGTAGCCGAGTCAAGGTGTGTACTTGCAGGAGCAAGCCAACCAAAGATGAGTCGTCCAGACCCATGCCCGAGGAGAGTGGCGAAAATGGGGGAGGCCATGGCAAGGACAATGGATAGATGGCAACGAATGCTCTTCGAGTAGCCAAGGAGTGGCATCGACTGATTGTGGTCAGACAAAGCCATCAGGGAATCATGGCAAGGCCAAGTCTGCGTCAAGAAGAAGGTACAAAGCAATCCACTTAAATGTTATTTCTGTGATGGTTCTCACTTGATAAGAGGATGTCCCGAGAAGAACGTAAACTTAATTATCGATTCTTCTCAAATTGGATTACAATTGAAAATTTATAGCCCAACAAACCCAAAACAGACTAATAAACCAAGCTAGGTAATAGTTAGATCTAACAACCAAGCCTAACCGACTAGTATACCCAAAAGATTAATCTAACAAGCTAAGAACAATTTAGCAATATCAACAACCTTTTAACTATTTATTCGGTGAAGTCAAGTCAATAGATTAAAAAGTAATTTTATATATACTTGAATCGAGCCAAATGAATGTAAAATTTAACTTAGAGAATCGATAATCATGTCAGATTTCGAGTGAAATCTTTTAAACCCGAATCGTATTAAAAACGAACAATTTAACTTTTGAATTAATTCGAATAGACTAAATCCTAAATGATCCGATTCGACCGATGACCGTCTTTATATGTGATTTATAATGTGTGGACCGACCGTACTGGGTAGAATACTTATTATTTAACTTCCTGCGTCTTAGCGGAGGTATGGCACACATTTTTCTAGAACATGTTGCCATGTCGTCTGTCATTGGACCACGTCATTAAACATGCAGGGCTTATACGTTTACATTGCAATCGATTTAACAATTACACCGGGGTCGTTCTGCGGTGCGGCGCCTAAAAAACGGCTAATATAGGCGTGACCGGTTAAACAAGTGACCGGTTAAAATTTAGACCGGTTATGTTATTTATTTAACCGGAAATATTATAAGTACAATAACATACTAGGTAGCGCTTATATAATGTAATAGGTAGCGCTTATATTTACCTATTTTATAAGTAACCAGTATATTTATACCGATAGCATGCAAATTTACCTATTACATTATATTATATTGAAAGTGTCCATACTTTTTATAAAAGGATCGATACTTTAACAGTGTTTCATGTTTTCCACCTACAATATTGATTTAATATTTCATTTGCACAAAAATTATTTGATTGTTTTGATATTTTAAAATTATTTAGAATTTTAATTTAATAATAATATACCGTAACGTAAAAATAAATCATTAGCGCCTATAATTACTAATTAATATCTTAAAACTCACTCAAAAGATAACCTTAATTAATGTTTTCCACAGTGAAAAAAGTATGGACACTTTTATAAAAAGGATAGACACTTTACAATATAACCATTACCTATTACATTATATAAACGATACCTATACATTATAAGGGCTACCTATTACATCTATGTTTACCTATTATATTGAAAGTGTCCATACTTTTTATAAAAAGGATCGATACTTTTTTTAAAACTTATGTAATTTATGTTTCAATTTTTTTAACAGTGTTTCATGTTTTCCACCTACAATATTGATTTAATAATTTCATTTGCACCAAAAATTATTTGATTGTTTTGATATTTTATAAAATATTATTTAGAATTTTTAATTTTAATAATATCCGTAACGTAAAAATAAATCATTAGACGCCTATAATTACTAAATTAATATCTTAAAACTCACTCAAAAGATAACCTTAAATTAATGTTTTCCACAGTGAAAAAAGTATGGACACTTTTATAAAAAGGATAGACACTTTACAATATAACCATTACCTATTACATTATATAAACGATACCTATTAATTATATAAGGGCTACCTATTACATCATATGTTTACCTATTATATTGAAAGTGTCCATACTTTTTTAAAAAGGATCGATACTTTTTTAAAACTTATGTAATTTATGTTTCAATTTTTTTAACAGTGTACTGCGAATTTAAAATGATAATATACTTGTAGTTATTGTACATACCTAAATATGTACTGCGAATTTAATGTTGTACCCACCCTTTAACTACAGAAACATTTCAAAATGAACCTTCGTTTACATATCCATCAAACTCCTGGAGCACTGAACTTGCACAACAAAATTTTTGCCATGGATAATACTGATGTAGACAATGTTAAGCCAACCGAGGAATGCCATGAAGTACATAATGTTGATGAATCTGACAGATTGGTTGGTCAGCTCTTCTGTTCACGTGATCAAGCTTGGCACTTTTACAAGGGATTCGCACGGGAACATGGGTTTAGTGCACGTAAGGAACAACACGGCTTGACATGCCGTAGGAGAAATATATGTTCTGAAGGTGAGATTCCGACAAGCTGCCAATGTAATAATACTGTGTATGGTCATATTTCCTCAAAATCCTAACCAGGTTATCCGTTATAAATACGGTGTCGTCGTCGCCCATCACGAACCACCTCACGTTATCCATCTTCAACCTCAATGTCTCCGTCACGATCCGCGATATACGAATCGCGGACCGGTGACCTTGCCGGTTCGTGTAAGCGAAGTTGGAAGTGTCGCTCGAGACACGAACCGGTGGAAGCGTTCGCTTGTCTTCGGGACTATATTTCACCCGATCGTCGAGCCAAACCACGCCCCGCATTTTGTTCGGCTTGAACCAAATCTTGATGTACTCTTTCCTCTGCTGCCATAGCTTGGAAGAAGCTGCAATTCCAAAAACAATGTCGTGGATTTCCGTCGGCCTCGGCTGGTTCGGAGCACCTTGTATTTGTACTGCCGACACCGGTTTTTCTCGAACGTTCCGATGGCGATGAATGGGTGACTTCGAATCAGCCGTTTGGTTGAGAAACGATGGTGTTAACGAACGCCGTTGAAGAGATGAAGTGAAGGGGAAATCGCCGGAGGCAAGGTGAACCGAGGCTGTTAAGAGCTTGAGAGTGTAGATAACATAAGTAATTGAAACGAAGAGGATTAACCAGACCATGAGCTTGGGAATGGGTCGGCTCGAGTGTCCAAAAACAAGAGGGTTTCCCGATGGGCTTCTCATCTGAACCTGATTCCATACTATCTCTGGATCTTTCTTTGCGTCTTTCATTTTTAAGATTTTGATAAAAAAAAATGAAGATTTTTTTCTTCTGAATGTAACATTCGATTCTCTTGGAGAATCTAAGAATGGGGAAAAGGCGGAAACAAAGTGCCCAGAAAAGCAAATCAGATGAAAATGAGAGAAAAGTAAAGATGATAGAGGTTGCACTGTGCCAGTTTGCAACCACCGCCAGGAGGGAACCACCAAAGTCCCTGGCCAACAAATACCAAGTAATTGAATAATGTTTTAATTTTGTGTTTTATTTTTTAGCGTGTAATACACTCAGATTTCTAGAATGGTGTGAGTGAGTTTGATTCTGGTAATAGATTTTAGAGGTGACAGATGACCCCACCTCTTTTATTCAAGGAGGGAAATATGTGTATAGACCGACGGAAAAATCTACAATATCATTAAAGAGACGCATCAAATTACATTTCAAGTAAATTTATTTTTATTATGTAAATATAAAAAAATATAAGAATTTATTTAAAATTAATTATAACTTTAATAGAAACATAATTAAATTATAATTTTTAAGGTAAATTACATGTTTAATACCTAAATTACCACTTTATTTCTATTTAGTATCTCGACTTTCATTTTTTTCAAAATTATACATAACATTTTTATTTCATTTTAGTAACCGCCATTAAAAAGTTAACGGCGCAATTGATGTGGTACTTTTTATTTAGGTAAATTACACGATTCAACACTCAATTATCTTTTCACCTCTATTTTGGTAACTAAAATTTAAAAAAATTCAATTTTATCATTGAACTTTCAAATTACTTGTATTTTGATCTCTGTTGATGACATCGATTATTTTATTACTATTTCTAGTATGACACGGCAAATTTATTATTATTAATGTCAAATAAAATTTAAAATCAAAATCCTTAATCTTAATCTTAAATCTCCAAACTCCAACACCGATCTAAACTCATCCTTACTTCATCTTCATGAAACAAAGAATACCAAAAAAACCCATACTAGCCCTTGTTTTTTCTTTCATTCCCTTCTCTCCCCTTGCATGAGGTAGTGCTACGATTGAGTGAAACTACACAAAAAATAAAAAATAACCTTGCAATCCATACATATCTTCAAGTTATTTTTCTTCTTTTTTTCTTCTTTTTATTTTGATTTTATGATTAGGCCTGTGAAAGTAAAAAAGGGGTAATGTTGCTTTTGTTTTGATTTGTGATCTAATGAAATATGTTATCTTTATTTTGCCTAGAAAATGAGAGAAAGTGCAAGAAAATAAGTATAAACAGAAACCTAGATTTTTTGTTTTATTTTTGTTTCATTTTTGTTTCATTTTTGTTTCATACTCTTTATCTCTTCTTTATTTTAGTTTTACTTTTTCTGGAAATGAGGAAGCATGGATAGCAACTTCCTTCTCATCCACTTCATGTGCTTTCCCTTTTATTGTTTTGGTTTTTGTTTTTAATATAAAAAAATATGAGCTTTTTGTTGTTTCAATTATGGCCATTGAGCAATGTTTACATTTTTATTAATTTGTCTCTGTGAAGGTGACAATGGTTGTTGTATTCTTGACACTTAAATTTATTTCTCTGTGTTCATTTGTTTCGGGTTCACAAACGGTTTTTCAAGGGATTCTTATGTGGTGACTGTAGAGTGATGTTGGTGGGGTTGGGGTTTGGATTAATGATTGGATTTAGGGATTAAGGGTTGGATTAAAATTATAAATTTTAATTTTTTATTTTAAATATTATTTGATATTAAATATTAATTAATTTATCATGTCAAATAATAATAATAATAATAATATAGTCCGAGAGGATTAAAATTGAAGCAATTCAAAAACTCAATGTTTAAATTCAAAATTTTTAAACTTTAATGATCAAAATAGAAGGGATAAAAATAGTTGAGTGATGAACTTTGTAGTTTACCCAAATTAAAAAATACTACGGTAAGATGTGTCATTAACTTTTTAACGGCGGGGTATTAAGATGAAACAAAAAATAAATATTATGTATGTTTTTTAAAAAATTAAAAGTTGATGTACTAAAATAGAATAAAATAATAGTTTAGGTATTAATGTAGTTTACCCATTTTTATTAAAAATAACAGTTGATTTTTCGACGAACTAAAGCACTGGATGTTGTAGCAGTTGATTTTTCAGCTAGTGAAGGTGGTCATTAGCGGTAACTATTACTAATGGTCGATTCTAACTTATATTACTTAAAAATATTAATTCTAAATAAATTAAATTACTTAAATTAATTATTATTTTTAATAAAAATATAATTTAATTATATTTTTTTAAATTATAATTAAATTTTAATAAATGATTAATTTTAAATAAATCTTTTCACTTTCAAATATTTATATAATAAAAATAAATTACTTATAACGTGTTTTAATATATCATTTTAATAATACATTACGATATGCGAGATGCTATAGATTTATCCATAGACCGACACAATTAAGGTGTAAAAAGACATATTTCGAGGAAAATGTTGTCGTTAAAACGTGGGAAAATTTTTTAGTCTTTTCATTCTTCGGAAACTGCCTGTCTGTCTTTCGCGTGGAAGATAGAAAAGACTTGATTGATTTTACGTTGACAGTGAAATGTGTTCTACACATTTAATGTAAATTCGTTTTTACAAAAACGAAAGCTTAAAAATTTCATGGTCGGGGCCATTGTATGCTTTGAGAGTTTGAGTAGGGCACACTTCAACGGGTGTGGCCGCATCTTAGTGTCGGCTCCCACCTTGAATCGTGAATGACGGAATCCATCAGAAGTGGGGTTTAAAACTTTTTCCCACCTTTAAGTTGTAAATTGACATTTTGCTGTTAGAGTCTGTACGTTTGACAGGGAAGGTTGTTGGATGTTGGATTACAAGGCAATCAGAGAGCTTCCACGTTGATTATGGATTAGTGCTTGCTTTAAAGGCCTTCTCCCGCTTAAGTTTCTCCAAATTTTCCCTTTTTTATATACTATAAACATCAAATTCATTGATTAGTTTTAGTAATTTAAAAAAATATATTAATTTTTCAAAAATTAAATTCAAATATTTACGTTTCTTATATGTTTGTGTTGTCAATATCTAAAATAATTATAAATAAATAATCATTCGAACTATTTAGAAAGTAATAATAAACGTTCGAGGTTGGCCATGCTACCACTATCTATATTTTTCAAGACACGTCAGTTCTGTTTCAATTTCCTGTCGTGTGTATTTAGGTCATTATTTGTAAAGCATGCATCGTTGGTCACTGTTAAGCTTTGTCCATGAACCAACGCACGTTGTATGAATAATCTAGCTCTCAAAAGCTTAGAACTCACTTTGATGGTCAAGCTTCTTGGTCATCGAATTGGATACAACCCCCTTCACAATCGAATTTTATCTTTATGGAAGCCTATTCATCTTATCAAACTGATAGATATAGAGAATGATTATTTTTTGGTGCAGTTTGTGGCCCTAAACGACATTTTTCATGCCCTAGCCGATGGTCCCTTTTGATATACTGACTTTAGAACTATCAATTTACAGAAACTTTTCTTATTTTCAAAGTAACCGTGTACATTGTTTTTATAGCTGCTCATAGAGCTTTTCAAGAACAGTGGCTTAGCTAGCTAACAGTCTTAACTAACTGATAACAACTCTAACCACCTAACCAATTCTTAACAGCTTAACTGTTTCATTATTCCCTCTGCTTCTTCTCCCTTCTTCAACAAGGAAATACACACATCTTGTTTCTGAAGACTTCGAACGCCGCTTTAGTCAGCGGTTTAGTGAGACCATCAGCTACCTGGCAGTTGGCTGGCACATAGCAGACACGCAACGCTTTGGCAGCTACCTTCTCCCTAATGAAATGGACATCCATGTCCACATGCTTCGAATGTGCATGATAGACCAGATTCATGCTCATAGCTATGGCACTTGTATTATCACACCAGATAATCGGTTCTTCACGTGGCTTGGTCCCAAGACTGCCAAGTAACGCATTAATCCAAGTTATTTCTGCTGCTGTGTCTGCTACGCTGCGATACTCAGCTTCCATAGTCGATCTAGACACCGTCTTTTGCTTCCTCGAGCTCTAAACCACAGGACACTGTCCGAGGGACACCGTGTGACCAGAAACGGACCTGCGATCACTTGCATCACCACCCCAGTCTGCATCAGCAAATGCTATTACCTTCAGCCCCGCTTCACTAGCCAGAAAGGTAAGACCATAGTCCAAGGTACCGGCTAAGTACCGAAGTATACGCCTGACTGCTGCCATGTGTGCCTCACAGGGAGCATGCATATATTGAGCAGCTTTGTTTACGCTAAACTCTATATCAGGTCGAGTATGGCACACGTACAGAAGTGCACCCACCAAGCTTCTGTACTCACGAGCATCACTGAGTGGCGATCCTGCATCATGAACTAGTTTTGTCGACCCAACCATAGGGGTTGCAGTAGGGGTAGCATGCAACATATCCACCCTCTCTAGTAACTCAAGAACATATTTCTTTTGTGACAACACTAGTTTGCCAGTGGTTCTCTTAACTTCTATACCTAGAAAGAAGCTCAGCTCTCCTAGGTCTTTGAGAGAAAAATCCTCCTGCAAGAGTCGAATCACTCCCTCAATATCATATGCGCTCTCACCAGTAATAATTATATCATCCACGTAAACTAAAACAAGTGTATAACAACCACTTCCACACTTCACAAAGAGCGAAACATCAGCCAAGGATTCAACAAACCCCATCCGCTCAAGGCTAGCCTTAAGCTTGTCATGCCAATTTCTAGGCCTGGCGAAGACCATACAAAGCCTTGTGTAGTTTACACACAAGTGGTGATCCATCTGCAGCCACTTCTTCAAATCCTGGGGGCTGTTGCATGAAAACTTCCTCAGCCAACTCTCCATTTAAAAACGCGTTATTCACATCAACTTGACGTAGCAGCCAATTCCTACTGACAGCCAACGAAAGCACTACATTCAGCGTTGCAAACTTCACGACTGGACTAAATGTGTCCTTAAAGTCATAGCCA